ACAAAATATGTAGTGAAGGTAATGTATTTAGACCACGCCAAAAGGTCATACAGTGCGATGATTGCGCTCCTTAACAGCATTTTTCAAGTAGGCCTGGTATGGACCAAAGAACACACCATTTCCCGGCCACCATGAGAGAACGAGTAGATTGACGATGCTGTGTGCTTTATAATTTGATGACTATTGGGCGACATGACGGAAACCATCACATGCAACCTCGCCCCAGGTAAGATAGCGTTGCGTGACATATCATGTAACGCCAGCTTATGAATGCCTTACTAAGCAAAGAAATTGTCACCTTGAATAGCAGTGTCTCTTGATGTACAATAGAGGAGCAGCACATTTCTCGGAGGGAGTGCATTACTAGCTGGGGACCGCCAAGGTTTTAAAAACAGATCATAAATAAAGTTTGCAATACTCAAGATGAATCCAGCTTGTTACTTGTTTATTATTTACTTCCAGATATTTAGCTTAACTTGCTTTCCTTGGTTAAACCTTCTGGCTTCATCCCAATTTTTTTTAACAATTCTCATTTCTCCTTTCATACTTAATTTTTTTCTGGGTCTGAAAAAGTCTGATTATTCACCAAATTTTCACGCTTCTTTGGGTATGCGTGACTGTTAGGAAACTGTCTATATCACTTTATATAATAAGCTCAGTTATGCACGCATTCTGATTGGTTCTCACTTATGATCTATTGGAGGACAGACGTATAAATGACGTCATCATTAAAACTTTTCTTAATTCTTTATTATATAAAACAAATAGATTCCAAGTTGTCGTGCGTCTGTTCAGTAATAGATCACAGAGGACGTCAAAATGTGGTAAGAACATTAGTGACACACTCGGCTGCGTCTTGTGTGCCACTTTTTTGTTCTTACCACATTTTGACGTCATCTGTGATCTATTACTGAACAGACGCCCGGCAACTTGGAATCTATTTGTCAATCTGACAACGATGTTTAGATGCTTGATAAAATTCATAACATCCGAAAATTCTTTGATATTGTCATGGTAGAGCTGTATGGTAGAAAACAAAAAGGAGTTTGGGAGCGGATAACTCTTAAAATGATTGAAAAGCACAGCCTGGCTTACACCAATGTAAATGCCTTTCAGAAAAATAAGAGTTTAGCAACAGTTTCAACAACTTTTTCCATTAGTGGCTGCCGATGGTGCAACCCAAACACAAGAGCCTGCTCACAAGCTAAACAGATGGCAGTGACATGTCTTACATCTGACCATAGAATGCAGGTAACCAACCTTTTACTCTTGTGTTTAGTGGGTAACATACATTTGTACATCGCTGGTATTTACACACAACTAAATTCAATTACCTAAGGTTAATAAACAAAGCTTGGCAGACAGGATGGGGCCTATGTCCTTTCAGACTTTTTGTGTAAAACTCAGGGAGCAGGCTTGCATGTAATTTTCAGCAAATGGAAGATTTTGATCAGAAATAGAACGATCAGTTTAGTAATTGTTATCAGGGAGACGAATATTTAATGATCAGGCCAGTTCATTCTGAATGGAAGTAATGGGATAACAAGAGGGAAATTGTTTTTAATATTATTATCCAGCAGGTGCTTTACTGAGGTAGCCACCTTCTTCTAATCTTATGGAAAGTACTCTAAAGATACGAAATGCTTCCTCATTTTCTTTCAAAAAATATTACAGGTAGTTCCGTTTCACCAGTTGTCAAAGTATTAAGCCTGGAAAGGTTGCATGATCCTACAAAGACAGATGGCAGCTGACCAGTCGTTATGTATGAAGAGGGGGGTGGATGAAAGAAGGGGGGGGTCAAGGCTACTTCAGATTGGCTAGAGGAGAGAGGCTAAACTTCTAATGAAGAAGTTTGGGGGGAGGTTAGCACTTTGAGATACATTTTAAAAAATGGTACATTGCCTTAGGTGGGTGTTATGCAAATTAATCATCTTAGAGTTGTATGTGACAAATTTTAATAATTAATAGCCAAATAAGATGAGATACGAGGAGAAAGGGGGAGGGGAGGGGTCATTACGTAAATTTTTGATAAAGGAGGAGGGTCGCTTACTAGTTATTTAACCATTACGAGATTCTGGGTCATGTTCAAACAATGATTTTCCCAAAAGTTTAATAAAAAGCCCAACTCTCATTTCTCACCTTATCAGAAGGCTTGATATCCCAGTGCTCTTCTTCCTTGAGCTCTTTAAATCCTGCTACTGATAACACCTTTCTACACTCATTGACCACTGAAACAAAACATAACAGCTTTTCTGTCAAAACAACTTTGTTTATAAAGAGTCAGGCTCTATCAGTTAATGGATGCAACATGCAGCTGTGGTGATTCTACTGTCATTATAAGGTATTGAGTCTTTTTCCTTAACCCCAATTCATGCAGCTAGATGGTCAACTGGTATTGATACATACCAGCTACGTTGCTCCTTTTGTCATATTACCTCACTGTCATGCAACACCTTCATTTCACCACTTAACCTCTCACCTTACAAAGAATAGCAGTATAACAATAGTAATATTGTGATCTTTAATTGATGGCTTGATTTTACCAATATTTTATATCATGAGACAAATGATGAAATTTTCAGTGAATCCCTTTTTTCCCAAGGTCTGAGTCACATTTGTCTCTAAGGTTGTTGTTGCTGTTCACCCTTGGACTACATCATGTCTTGATATTGTAAGGAGGTTCATGTTGAAATGGCAATTAAGAGTCTCTAGTTGTGTATATACTGTAAAACTAATTCCTAATACATTTAAACACTGGTTTAAAAAGATGAAGAGACAGCAAACAAATTTAAGAAGTTCACTAGACTCTGAAGCTACAGGGATAAAACATACCATGGTAAGGCGAGGGACCATTGTTCACAAAATCAATGAACTTCCCTGCTGCAGATTTCCTTACATCAAGTGAGGATGCCTACAACAAAACAAAAAACACAAAACGTTTTTTGATAAGAACTTCACTTTTTTGACATTTTGAAGATACTGGATGAAATTTCCATCCAGGAAAGACACCCCATGAGAAATAACTACATGTGCAACAATACTATACATTTAGAAGAGTTGCAACAGCTTTACTGCAATTTCCTCCAGAAATAAAACTGTGTTAATCAACTCTTTACCCTAAGAGTGACTAGCATCTAATTTCTCTTCACAATATATATCACCCCTGAATTAAACATTAAGGTCACAATAACAAAGAAAATAGGCAGTTAAGACACCAAAATGTGGATATAAATAACCAACATATGCATATGGCTACTGATACAGAACAATTTTTTAATAGCATTGAAAAGAACCAGGACTATCATTAAAAACCAGAATGATATGAACCATTTTTTTCTTCAAAATAAGAACCCTGAAACAAAGATATCACTTACCATGCAATAACAGAAATGGATCTTAGAACCCCTTAGAGTGACCACTGTATTCTATTTCTCCTCACAATATTGCCCCTGAATCACACATTAAGGTTACGAGAATAAAGGGAATGATCACCAAAAAAGAAACTCTTGATTCTTAGACAAATTTTTTCTTGTTAGCACCTTAGGAGATGTAAAGAGAACAGTATGGAGAATATGCATACTGATGTTAGGGTGCAAAGGGTTAACTGGAAAACAATGGCTACATGATTTAAAGAATAATATCCACAATCAATATCAGAGGAATTCTTCATATGTTATACAATAAATTATAAAGTATTTGTTTTTTCATAACAAAGTACTGATGACCTGGTGCCATTGTTTCAAGCTAGACAGCACAATTTATCCCATAAATTGCTAACTGCTGGTGATAGCAATACAGGCTATGCTATTGATCAGATAGCAGGTCATTCAGTTGGTTAGTTTTTTCTAGCTTTTGAACAACTGAGCGCAAAAGGATACTTAAGAGCTGGCTAAACAGCACACTGTAATGGTTTTAATTATGACAAGAGGATTCATATATATAAATATCTTGGGTGCTGGTTACAAAGCACATAATGTTCACATCTTCAGGACAGGAAGCATGAACTGTGCAATACCAGTAGAAGGTTTTATTTGTACAATCAACTCTCTGCTAATGAACAATCTTGTATGTAGTCGGCTCTTTCTACAAACACTTTTTTCACCTCTTAGTCAGACTCTGTTTTTACCCATTCCAGTCAGCTGACACTCCCTTGTCAACGGTTGCAGACACTTTTGAAAGTGAAAATTAGATTGTTCTTTTGTTTATCCTCTCATGATAGCTGACACCCCATACATACTAATTGACTCTTGGCAATGAAATTTGTCTAATTTGCAAATCAACAAAAATATCTCCTTTGACAAGGTAACAGAACAGTGGGCATCTGTTTATTCAAATCTCCATTTGTCCAAAAAAAGTGCAGTTAACACCTGCTTATGAACTCTCCTGTAAGCAGATATCACCCCTATATTTCTTTGGTGTCCACTTATGCGATTTATGCTAATAGGCAGACAGCTCTACTAACAGACACTTTTCTCTCAATTCCTAAAGGTGTCTGTTTATGAGACAGTTGACTACAGAGTGTAACTACAACCATGAAAAGACTTCAAAGGAACAATTGATTTCCATCCCTTAAAAGGATATGATGAAAGAGTACAAAGTGCAAAAAGTTGTAATTAAACCTTTGCAGCCTAACATGGATATCTATATTCTCCATACTGTTCTCTAAACATTTCCTAAGGTGCTGATAAGGAGAATTTGCTTAACAATCAAGAGTTTCTTTAGTTTGCCACCATTTGTGTTATTCTTGTGACCTTAATGTTTGATTCAGAGGTGATATTGTGAGGAGAAATTAGATGTCAATCACTCTTAGGAGTTAAAAGGTTAAGGTATTTTGAAATGGCAGACGGGTTGTCTTTGTGTTTCACTTATTTTTTTCCAAGAATTATGTGAGGCAAGGTATAAACAAAGGCCAAAATACAGCCCTATATGAATTGAAACCACAACTACTAGATTTTTCAAAATGACTCAGTGTTGTGAAGATTTCCGAGTCTCATTTCTTTTTAACTCTTACCTATGGTGGATCCAATGTCAGGGTCAAATGTGTCATCAGTGAATCTTAGAAGCAGGCTGTGATTAGAAGCAGACAGCATTAAATAAAGAACTTCACAATAACGACAAGGACACTTATTTGTGCGGTTGAGATCGACAGCGAATTGTCACATGAAAGACAACAGCAAATCTATATGGAAAATCACGTTACTATCAATTTATTTTCAATTTTGAGCATGTGATTTTCAAATAGAATGATCCTCTGTTATGAGAGACATTCGTTACGGCTATATATTTCGAATTCGGAAGCCATTGACTCTAAAACGATTTTTGTACCTGGATTTTCCAACGCCACTTTCTCCAATAATCAAGATCTTTCGCGAGATAAGAACATCGTTATCCATCTTTCAAACAAAACTTGGATCTTTGAACCAGCTCCTGAGCTATATACCGGTTGATTTAATGCTGAATACGGCCAAAATTTAACATGGCCCCTTTTATTTCGTCACGGTTATATTCTTAGTCCGCAGACATGTCTTCACATTTGTGGACAAGACCGCTGACAACTGGAAGACCCCCAAAGGATCATGGGTGGTCCGTAAACTTCAATCAAAAGGTAGTCCCTAGTCAAGATGTGATAGGAGAACGCATCCTTGACAACTTATCTTTCAAGGCAGCCTCCCCTCCCACCGAAAAATACATACGTCATTCCTCAGTATCCAAATCGTCATATGGGGTAATTTCAAGTATTACTGCCTGTCTGGAACCCATGTCTAATTTTCACACTTCAGAGGTCTTAAAAAACTTTTTAAATAATTTTTTCTTGTGATAAAAAGATGAATGAAATGGGTTAAATTATATTTACATATTCGAATTTTCATTCGTTTTCCTGCTTTGGGCTTGACGAATAAGTCGAATCCACTTGCTTTGGCGAACCATTTTGAATTTTTTTATTCCCGACCCACAGTGAAAGTGAACAAAAGAAACAGTTTGATTGAATGCAACAGGAGCACATTTCGGTTGGGCATTGTGGAAACGAAAGCAAAGTAACCTCAACGGCCAGTCAGAACAAAAGGAAAATAACACAAGGAGCCATTAATAAATTCAGTTAAAGAGAAGAAATATAACAGAGTGGTGGAAGTTTTCTGGATCAATCAAAAAGTGACGTCAGGCAAAACCAGTGCAACTTTGTATTACTTTGGACATTCAATTGAAATTACTTGTAACGATAAATTTGATAGGAAGGGCCCCTTATGATCCATTGTGGTGATATTCCTCCATCCTTGACCGTGAAATAAAAACGACCATATATTAGGTTTGACAGACTTGCGTCACCTCAAAGAATATGCCTTCAAGCAGCCTCGTTTCTGGGGTCCTCATGGAAAGAAGAAAGAAGATTGTGAGAACGAGATTACCCAGAATACTTTTCTTTGGGAAGAAGGGGAGGGAAAAGAAACTGAGTAGCCACTGGGTCAGAATTACATGTTGGGCGTAAGAATTGGTGCAGGTTTACAACGAGCATCTTCCGTGCGAGAGAAAATTAGGAAGCCGGCAGACTTAGCATGCATGATTACTCCATGCAAGATCCATACCAAAGGCTCCGACTGAAATCGAAACCAACAAAACGGCTTCCTGCCCCTTAGGAAGACAGCAATAATGATGGTTTCTATTATTTTGTATTTACTCTCTTCCCTAAATCGTCTCCAATCGTCCTCAAAGTGCGGGTAACCGACACGGGCAGTGTGAGAGCGCAAAGTGTGATGGGTAAGGAGTAAGCGAGAGAAAGACTCCTCGTCTTCCTCCTCACCATCAACCTTCCTTCCCACTTTAGTACCGCGCACATTATTGGAAACGACTGGTGACGAGTCAGCCTTTGTCAGGTTTCAGGATACAAAGGCCATTTTTAATGACTGAAAAACAGAGACCGAGAAAAATTAAAAAACTCATTTTAAATGACGATCTGTACTTCAAAGGGGGAAGACAGCTGTCTCCAGGTATAATAAGAAACTGCATTAATTGAACTTTTTATAAAGTTGTATTTGCGTAACCGGTAGGTAACTTGATAAACAATGTAGAAACAGAGAAAACGCGAAATTCTGCGAGATGACTCAGATTTAATCAATGGTTATTAGTAGTCGCAACCCAAACATAGTCAGATTCAAGGGTCTGTATCATAATATACTTCTGCTGAAAATAATAAAGATTACCGTATTTTCTCGGTTATAAGGCGCACTCGGTTATAAGACGCACCCTGAATTTTTGAAGTTGTAAACCGAAAATTTCGCCTAAATACCCGGTTATAAGACGCAACCTCAACTTTGGGCTTTTTCACTATCTTCACTTTCAAAACAATAGCGTTTTCAAAGTTCCTAATTACAGTCATGTCACCTTTTTTTAACAAAAGGCAAAAAAGTCACACAATTGCACGAACAAAGCGAAAAAAAATCACACCTATAAAAGAGATCTAGATACCGTAAATAAAGTCTGCCTTCTAAGGAAATAGTGTTACTTTCTAAAGCTATGAATACTAATTGATCCAGTTTAAGCTTTACAAGCATGTCTCAGCTGGTTGTAAAACTTCATTCACGGCGATCCAGTGAGCGTTGCTAAGTTTAAAAAAAATCACGCCTAGTACGCGACGTCATTCTTACGATCTGAACTTTAAGTTGAAAATAGTAGAGGAAGCAGAGGCAGTGAAAAACAATCGGGAAATTGCCCGCGAGGGCGGAATATCCGAGTCGCAGCATATGCTGTTTAATGGCGAGTTAAAGATGACTGCCAAACGTGCATCCATGGGTCGGTACAAACCAAAATATCCAGAACTGGATCAACGCTTAGCAGACTGGTTTAGCGATCAAGGAAGTCAAGGTACGATAAACAATTGTTTTATCTTCAATTTGCGCTAATTGATTAACAGTCCAGGAGATCAATGTTAACATGCAACATGTGCACGTAAAATACTTTGTCCTTTAACACTGTACTATTCAATTTTTTGCAGGTCTCTCAGTTAATAGCGTAATGCTCCGGTTAAAGGCGAAGGAACTCAGCTCCGATCCGGAGTTCAAGGCATCTATAGGGTGGTAAAACAACTGGAAACGTCGACACGCTGTACATATCAGAGCCAGTTAAGCCACATCTTAAACACGGACGAAACTCCCATGTGATTTGAGCTGCCAGCTTCAAGAACCCTCGAGTTTATGAGCAACCGAACAGTGCGAGACGAACTGTTGATGTTGCTTTTATTACCGGTGGCCTAACGTCAGTTTTGCAGCCCCTAGAAAAGTGCATAAACAGGCCTTTCAAAGCCAAACTCCGAATAGTGCATGAAACATGGATGGTAAATGGCCCGTCCACGTATACCCCATCTGGAGAGAAGAGAGCGCCAAGCAAAGAACTGATGTTGACCTGGATCAATCGCACCAGGAACGGAATTCCTCAAGATTTAACTACGAAATCGTTCAAGTCCTGTGGAATCGCAAATGCGCTAGACGGCTCAGAAGACGATGCAGTATGGGAAGAAGAGAATGAAGAGACAGAAGATGCAGAGGAGATTATTGATAATGATTTCGAGACCGGCAGTAAAGGCAAAGAAGGAGAATAAAACGTACCTGCAGCAGTATTAATAAAACGGTATACGTGCACAAGCCACGAGTCATTGAAAGCAGCTGTGACCTTAATGTGCTCAGTTCAGAGCTTTTTCAGAATGGCCAGTGCACGATCATGATAATCCTTTGCCTGACTCAGGTCACCCAGCTTTTTGTGTACAATACCCAGGCTATTGTAAGAACTTGCAACGTGAACATGGTCAGGTCCAAGCTTTTTCAGACGAACGGCCAGTGCACGATCATGATAATCCTTTGCCTGACTGAGGTCACCCAGCTTAGTGTGTACAATACCCAAGCAATAGTAAGAGTTTGCAACGTGTACATGGTCAGGTCCAAGCTTTTTCAGACGAATGGCCAGTGCACGATCATGATAATCCTTTGCCTGACTCAGGTCACCCAGCTCATCGTGTACAATACCCAGGCTATTGTAAGAGTTTGCAACGTCAACATGGTCAGGTCCAAGCCTTTTCAGAAGAATGGCCAGTGCACGATCATAATAATCCTTTGCCTGACTCAGGTCACCCAGCTCATCGTGTACAATACCCAGGCTATTGTAAGAATTTGCAACGTGGACATGGTCAGGTCCAAGCTTTTTCAGACGAATGGCCAGTGCACGATCATGATAATCCTTTGCCTGACTCAGGTCACCCAGCTCATCGTGTACAATACCCAGGCTATTGTAAGAGTTTGCAACGTCAACATGGTCAGGTCCAAGCTTTTTCAGACGAATGGCCAGTGCACGATCATGATAATCCTTTGCATGACTCAGGTCATTCAGCTCATCGTATACAATACCCAGGCTATTGCAAGAATTTGCAACGTGAACATGGTCAGGTCCAAGCTTTTTCAGACGAATGGCCAGTGCACGATCATGATAATACTTTGCCTGACTCAGGTCACCCAGCTCATCATGTACAATACCCAGGCTATTGTAAGAGTTTGCAACGTGAACATGGTCAGGTCCAAGCTTTTTCAGTCGAATGGCCAGTGCACGATCATGATAATCCTTTGCCTGACTCAGGTCACCCAGCTCATCATGTACAATACCCAGGCTATTGTAAGAGTTTGCAACGTGAACATGGTCAGGTCCAAGCTTTTTCAGACGAATAACAAGCGCACGATCATGATAATCCTTTGCCTGACTCAGGTCACCCAGCTTTTTGTGTACAATACCCAGGCTATTGTAAGAACTTGCAACGTGAACATGGTCAGGTCCAAGCTTTTTCAGACGAATGGCCAGTGCACGATCATGATAATCCTTTGCCTGACTCAGGTCACCCAGCTCATCGTGTACAAAACCCAGGCTATTGTAAGAACTTGCAACGTCAACATGGTCAGGTCCAAGCTTTTTCAGACGAATGGCCAGTGCACGATCATGATAATCCTTTGCCTGACTCAGGTCACCCAGCTTTTTGTGTACAATACCCAGGCTATTGTAAGAACTTGCAACTTCAACATGGTCAGGTCCCAGCTTTTTCAGACGAATGGTCAGTGCACGATCATGATAATCCTTAGCCTGACTCAGGTCACCCAGCTCTTCGTGTACAATACCCAGGCTATCGTAAGAACTTGCAACGTGAACATGGTCAGGTCCAAGCTTTTTGAGACGAATGGCCAGTGCACGATCATGATAATCCTTTGCCTGACTCAGGTCACCCAGCCCATGGTATACAATACCCAGGCTATTGTAAGAACTTGCAACGTCAACATGGTCAGGTCCAAGCTTTTTCAGACGAATGGCCAGTGCACGGTCATGATACTCCTTTGCCTGACTCAGGTCACCCAGCTCATCGTATACAATACCCAGGCTATTGTAAGAACTTGCAACGTCAACATGGTCAGGTCCAAGCTTTTTGAGACGAATGGCCAGTGCACGATCATGATAATCCTTTGCCTGACTCAGGTCACCCAGCTCATCGTGTACAATACCCAGGCTATTGTAAGAACTTGCAACGTCAACATGGTCAGATCCAAGCTTTTTCAGACGAATGGCCAGTGCACGATCATGATAATCCTTTGCCTGACTCAGGTCACCCAGCTCATCGTGTACAATACCCAGGCTATTGTAAGAGTTTGCAACGTCAACATGGTCAGGTCCAAGCTTTTTCAGACAAATGGCCAGTGCACGATCATGATAATCCTTTGCCTGACTCAGGTCACCCAGCTCATCGTGTACAATACCCAGGCTATTGTAAGAACTTGCAACGTCAACATGGTCAGGTCCAAGCTTTTTCAGAAGAATGGTCAGTGCACGATCATGATGATCCTTTGCCTGACTCAGGTCACCCAGCTTTTTGTGTACAATACCCAGGCTATTGTAAGAGTTTGCAACGTCAACATGGTCAGGTCCAAGCTTTTTCAGACGAATGGCCAGTGCACGGTCATGATACTCCTTTGCCTGACTCAGGTCACCCAGCTCATCGTGTACAATACCCAGGCTATTGTAAGAACTTGCAACGTCAACATGGTCAGGTCCAAGCTTTTTGAGACGAGTGGCCAGTGCACGATCATGATAATCCTTTGCCTGACTCAGGTCACCCAGCTCATCGTGTACAATACCCAGGCTATTGTAAGAACTTGCAACGTCAACATGGTGAGATCCAAGCTTTTTCAGACGAATGGCCAGTGCACGATCATGATAATCCTTTGCCTGACTCAGGTCACCCAGCTTTTTGTGTACAATACCCAGGCTATTGTAAGAGTTTGCAACGTCAACATGGTCAGGTCCAAGCTTTTTCAGACGAATGGCCAGTGCACGATCATGATAATCCTTTGCCTGACTCAGGTCACCCAGCTCATCGTATACAATACCCAGGCTATTGTAAGAACTTGCAACGTCAACATGGTCAGGTCCAAGCTTTTTCAGACGAATGGCCAGTGCACGATCATGATAATCCTTTGCCTGACTCAGGTCACTCAGCTCCTCGTGTACAATACCCAGGCTATTGTAAGAACTTGCAACGTCAACATGGTCAGGTCCAAGCTTTTTCAGACGAATGGCCAGTGCACAATCATGATAATCCTTTGCCTGACTCAGGTCACCCAGCTCATCGTGTACAATACCCAGGCCATTGTAAGCATTTGCAACGTGAACATGGTCAGGCCCAAGCTTTTTCAGAAGAATGGCCAGTGCACGATCATGATAATCCTTTGCCTGACTCAGGTCACCCAGCTTTTTGTGTACAATACCCAGGCTATTGTAAGAGTTTGCAACGTCAACATGGTCAGGTCCAAGCTTTTTCAGACGAATGGTCAGTGCATGATCATGATAATCCTTTGCCTGACTCAGGTCACCCAGCTCATCGTGTACAATACCCAGGCTATTGTAAGCATTTGAAACGTGAACATGGTCAGGTCCAAGCTTTTTCAGAAGAATGGCCAGTGCACGATCATGATAATCCTTTGCCTGACTTAGGTCACCCAGCTTTTTGTGTACAATACCCAGGCTATTGTAAGAGTTTGCAACGTGAACATGGTCAGGTCCAAGCTTTTTCAGACGAATGGTCAGTGCATGATCATGATAATCCTTTGCCTGACTCAGGTCACCCAGCTCATCGTGTACAATACCCAGGCTATTGTAAGAATTTGCAACGTGAAGATGGTCAGGTCCAAGCCTTTTCAGACGAATGGCCAGTGCACGATCATGGTAATCCTTTGCCTGACTCAGGTCACCTAGCTTTTTGTGTAAAATACCCAGGTTATTGTAAGAACTTGAGACGTCAACATGGTCAGGTCCTAGCTTTTTGAGACGAATGGCCAGTGCACGATCATGACAATCCTTTGCCTGACTCAGGTCACCCAGCTCATCGTGTACAATACCCAGGCTACTGTAAGAACTTGCAACGTGAACATGGTCAGGTCCAAGCTTTTTCAGACGAATGGTCAGTGCACGATCATGATAATCCTTTGCCTGACTCAGGTCACCCAGCTCTGTGTGCACGTAACCCACGTGTCCATAGATAACTGCAATATCTAAGCCAGGGTCGTGCTCGTTGACAATGGTTAAGTCTAATGCCAAATCGATGAAACGTCTTGAAGTTTCGTATTCACAATGTATATAGCAAAACATACCCATTCTATGGAGGTCCATCACATGGTTCTTGATCAAAAAGCCAGTTTGGTCGACTTGAGAAATAACCTTCTTAGAAAAACATCTCTCAAGTTCTGGGGCTAAATTTATCAAATGAGTAACATGTCTGCTGTTTATTAGAGCATATAACTCGTCGTTGTCCCTTGATAGATATTTTTGTACAAAACGACTGAATGATCCAATCACTCCACTAACGACCTCGTTGTGCTTATCATCCGAATGAGCTGCAGCCACAGTCTTAATGGAATTATGTACAACCTGATGCACACGAATGTAAACATCAGTTTCGTCTCTTTCAAACATCAGCAGGGAGCACCTTTGTATCTTCAAACGAATCATCTCTATGTCTTGAATTTCTTTATCCACACTTGTGATAAAGTCTTCAATGATATTAAGACTTAATGGTTGTGGTGCACACAGGGACAGGAAATTAAAGGTGTGATGCATAATTTTGTTGGATTCCATAGCTGTTTCTACGGCCAGTGTTGTTGCTGTCGTCATGGACTTTGCATAGCTTGGGTTGACTTCGGCAAGAAATGTCTCCATGGCATTTCTTTGGCCTGTTTCAAGTTTTGCAAGATAGTCTTTCCAGCCAAAATTAGATGTCTGTCGAACTTCTCTGACATAAGTGGCGGCACTTGCCAAGGCGAGAGGCTGGTAGTCCAACGCCTGAGCAACTTTGATTTCCATCTCTTTGTCCGTGATTCCCGACAGCTTTTCCAATAAACAACTGACATCATCAAGATTCATTCCGTTGCTTATTGAGATGTGTTTGTTGAAGGAACTTGCTTGAGGAATTGACCCACTGTCTTGAGTTGTGATAAGCAACTGGCCTCTTGCCCACATCTCATTTTCGGCTTCGGGTAGATGGACATGCACATGTGATAGACTCGCGACATTATCAACTGCGAGCAGCCACGATGTATAAAGCCCAATTTTCGTTCCGATCAATGCCCTAAGATTGCTGATTTTCTCATTTGTTGTCAAGTCCTCTGAATGGAGGGTGGTTGTCACCGCGTACTCGGGACACTTAAGACGCCGTGAAAAAGCCACATACGATTGTAGCACAGTATCTGGACTTTCACCATTTATCGTCATCACAAATGAGGTACCATCAGGAAGATCTTTAATTTCTTTGTAGAATCGTTCAGTCACAAGACCCGCTAGTTGAGACTTTCCACTTCCAGGATTTCCGGAGATGTAAAGGTAACTTAACCTGTCTTTATTTGCTGTTTTAAGTTCTCTAAGCTGTTGCATTATTTGGGCCACCTCTCGGTCGCGACTTGTTACGTCATGTGAGGGTTTAGGAGGGAGGACACAGAAGGGGGAGATATCATTGTTTAACTGATCTTTAAGGACCTGTCTTTCGCACTCTTTCTCCTGAAGCTCTTGCTTGAGATCGTTAACCATTTTCAAGACATCTTTCAGTTTCTCCGTGGGAAAGCTCGTTTGATTCTTAATCTCTTGAATTTTCATTGTGGAAAGACTGAGCGCTTGAAATGCAGTGTCAACTTTGCCAATGATATTTTGAAACTGCAGGTCTGAAAGGTTTCCTTCCGACATGTGCGCAAAATCTTCATTTCGAAACTTTCTGAGGGCATCGACATTTGATCTGACAACTGGGCTGAGGCTGTGAATACAATCTGAGTAAAGAATAGCATAGAAAAGCATCGTACAATCCCATTCTGCTCTGTTTCCGCCAATCATGGTTGTAAGGAGATGCGCATTCCTTTTTTGGTTCCGAGCAGATTCCTTGTTTTTAAAGTCCACTCCATTTCTTGGTTCATCCTTCCATTGCCCTGACGTTGTTGCACCGTAGAGATTGTCCCATTCTCGTTTGAAGATTATTCGCAGACCATCAGTTAATACATCAGTGACAACGTAACAAATCCTGTAGTAGTTGAGCTGCTCTTTGCTGTATTCCATCGCCATGACGATATTCACGTTTGAAAGGGCCTTAGAAGAGACAAATTGATTTATATAAGCGAGTTCAGATTATATGTTTTCTCAGTTTTTAGAGATGTTTGAATATGAGTGGTTCTTATCAGCCCTCATTTGTGGCTTAATTGACTGTTTCAAGTCCACTGTCCATTTTCACCTGTCCGATTTCAAGTGTTGGTAACTGCAAAGGCCAAATCGGACAGTTAAGCAGCCAATAGAAATTTGGCACTTTAAGTCATCAGCCAATAAAAATCAACTATTAATGCCAGTCAGTCAATGCGAGCCAATCAAAATGAAAAATAAACTTCTTGAGTGGCCAGGTTGAGAGTTCCACATTGAAAACAAACATGGACGAAATTAACTGGTCCAATGACTATTATCGGTAACAATAAAAAAGTTATGCGCTCTTACATCAAATTTTTCACTCCTGAGTTTCAAATTTTGGTTTTTTAACAATTAATTGGTAATTGCAGAGTTGCAGTATAAGTTTTTTTATGCCGTATTTCCTTGAATAGAATCGAAAGTTTCGGTGTAACGAGCTAATCTCAAATTCTGAAGTGTGCTTCTTATTTGAGTTATTGTTGTTTCTTGTTCAGTGGGTCCATTGTGTAGATATCGATGAACCTTTTCAGCACTTAATTTAACTTATTCTGATGAGAAATTCCATTAATAGAGGAGCTTAATCAACCGTATTGATCGATAAAGAAACAAATGATGTGCTTGCAAGCAAGGACCCATTTGAATTCGCGAAAGAACATCAGCAGTAATCGACTGTATCTATTATCAATGCAAATACGTAGTGTGAGTTTAATTTGTAATGAGAGCATGCGTATCTGATCAGGTGCGGTAATGCGGTGATTTCAGGAATATTTTGCAGTGTCATCCTTACTATAATAAGTATGAGGTCAAACAAACCATTAATCATTCTGCGTCGTTTTACGGTTGTTTTGTTTAGTTGAAAAATAACGGCACAAAATCAAGCATTTGCACATTCTGCCAGAAGATGTAAAGATCTCGATTGGAGATTTCTCAAGCAATGGAAAGCAAAAGACTTTAAAGCGAAAATTCCCTTCTGTCGCGAATGACAGAAAGGGTGAGCGTATCTAAACCTTCGATCCCTTATTGTAGTATTTGAAAACTTAAAGTAGGCACTTCCCGGCACTTTTCTAATACTTTTTACCGTTTCCATGTACTTGTGTTATCTAGAATCTCCAGAAATTAATAGGTTTCAGTTATTTCTGTATTTTTATTTCAGTTATACACAAAATCGTATTAGGAGTGTAGCTAGTCAACGAAGGTCAACTTGGTTCGAGGTTTGGGCTCTGTTGATAGTTTATCGCGATCAAATGTTTTTTTTAACAAGTATAAATGCTGTCTACACCTGGACCTCAACATAGTTTATACAGTTTCTTCTGGTTTGTTCTTTTTGGCGCAAAAGACTTTCTAGTGATCAAATTATGGTTGTCAGACCACGAGGAATAGAATTCCACTGTGACCTTCTGGAATAACAATTAAGTCTCCTCGAGGTCAGTAGCTTTTAAGGTACATTGATTACGTGATAATAAGTAAGAAGTACAGTTGTGCGCTGATATCATAGCAAGGACTGAGTGGTTCTAAGGACTTCAACATTTTGTCTTAGGCCGAAACCAGTCAAATTAATGCAATTTGATTTCGTGACTTGACGGTACGCAAACAGGACTTTGGTCTTAAATGACACATTTGAGTTTTCGGGATCAAGATTCGGCTGAAGCATACTATAAATTAAACTTAAAACAGATACAACCAATTATGAAAGATACCCACCGTTTCCAGTGATTCTTGAATAATTCAACACAGAAACATGGATTTCGCGTCAACGAGTTGTTTTGTCAAAATAGTCATCCGTTGTGACATTCGATCGCCTAAGGGCAAGTTTTACAAGTATTATTATGAATAACAGATCGATACGTGCGCGTTGAGCCCCAATCGAAACACGTCATGTAGCTCGCCTGGCTAGCAATTATTGACTTCTAGCTCTTAAAATGAGACAGTGGACGCCACGTGAAAGAAATTTTCAAATCTTTCGACGCAACTTGACGTAAGATCTATAGTTCTCGAGGATGAAATTCAGGAAGATAACTCGGGGATTTATGAAACAAAGGTTGCGTCGTAACTAGGGGAAATAACGTATTTTACTTTACGCATTATTTAACTCAAGAGCTAAAGGAATTGAACCATACAAGTGCAGTTCAATGTGTCAATGTCCGGGCCTTACTTCTTCGCCAATACTCTTGGGGTACCTGATGGCGAAAATCCGAAATGTTTCTTGAGTTTTTCGAGAACTTTCGAATATTATGTACATGTATGTTTTGAATGACTTCTTCTTAATTGATTGAAACTTTTCACTGATAAGTTTTAAAATTAGTTAGCTTCCACTATCTCTTAATTGAAACTGTTTTGGCGTGATTTTTGTAAGTGGTGGGTATCAAATACTAAATAGGGCTCATAATGTGAACTTTAGATAACGAGCATTATATTAAAGTTTCTTGTTAATCCGTTTTTGAATTTCATGTTTCTATAGCAACACAATATCCAATTCTTCTGTTCTATAATGATCGCTGTTTTAAGTGTTCTAAGTGCTTATGACAGGAATACCAGTGTGGACGGTAAAGCAAGCCCAAAACGAAAGTTTTTAAAGGGAAAATTCCCGTGACCGTATCGAAACCTTTGTTCCCTCATTGTAGTATTTGAAAGCTTTAAGTAGGCGGTTTCTTCCAGTAATTTAATACTTTTAACCGTTTTCAACTCAGTACACTCGTATTATCTAGAATCTCCAAAAATTACTAAGTTTCGGATATTTCGGTAGTTTCGGTTGTGTTTTCCTCGATTACAGGTGTCTCAAACAATGGAAAGCGAAAGCATTCGGAAAATGAAAATTCCCTTTTGTTTCGAATGCATCGTATTACTGAAAAGGCGTCTGGACAGGATAGCTATAGATAAGTGGACCGTAGTGAAACTTTTGGTTTCCTTACTACCAAATTTATGATAACTTGCACTTTTGAGAACTGTGAATAGGAAACTCCAAAGGTACAAAATAAATGTTACAGAGTGTCGCACGCATCATCAGAGATCGTATTTGGAGAGTAAATGGTAAACGAAGGTCAAATTGGCTCGAAGTTTTGGCTCTGTTGAGAGTTTATCGTGATCAAATGTTTTTTAACGAGTAAATGCTGTCTACACCTGGACCTCAACATAGTATATATAGTTTCTTCTCATTTGCTTTGTTCTTTTCAGCGTAAAAGACTTTCTAGTGATCGAATTATGTTTGTCAAACTACGAAGAGTAGAATTCCACTGTTAATTTCTGGATTAACAATGAAGTCTGCTCGATTTCAGTAGCTTAAGATACATTCCATGATAATAAGTAAGAAGTACAGTTGTGCACTGATATCATAGCAAGGATTTAGTGGTTGTAAGGACTTTAAAATTTTGTCCTAGGCCGAAATCAGTAAAATTAATTCAATTAGATTTCGTAACTTGACGGCACGTAAACAGTACAAAGAAATGAAGGGTTTGGTCTCAACTGACACGTTTGAGTCTTCGGGATCAAGATTCGTCTGAAAAATACTATAATTTGAACTAACAACAAAAAAGGACAAATAATGAATGATACCCACCGTTTTAAGAGATTTTTGAATAATTCAGCACAGAGACATTTATTACGCGTCAACAAGTTGTTTTGTCAAAATGATCATCCGTTATGACACCCCACTGCCTAAGGGTAAGTTTTTACAAGTATCGTTATGAGTAACAGATCGATACGGTTCTCTGAACCGCAATCGAAACCCCGTCATGTAGCTTGCCTGGCTTGCAATTACTGATTTCTAGCTCTTAAAATGAGACAGTAGACGCAACGTGAAAGATATTTTCAAATCTTTCGACGCAACTCGACGTAATATCTGTAGTGATCGAGAATGAAATTCAGGAAGATGACTCGAAGATTGATGAAACAAAGGTTGCGTCGAAACTAGGGGAAATAAATTGATTACTTTACTCATTATTCTAACTTAAGAGCTAAAAGAGTTGAACCATATAAGTGCAGTTCAGTGTCTCAATGTCTGGGCCTTATTTTTTATTTGCCAATATTGTGGCGATAACTAACGGTGAAAATCTTAATGTTTCTTGAGTTTTTTGAGAACTTTCGCATGTTTATGTACATGTATGTTTTGAATGACTTCCACCAAATAAATTGATTGAAATTTTTCACAAATAAGTTTTGAAATTAGTTAGCTTCCACTGTCTCCTAATTGATCTGTTTTGGCGTGATTTTGGTAAGTGGTGCCGGGGTATCAAATACGAGAAAGCGCTCATAACGTGAACTTTGGATAACGAATGTTCTTTAAACTTTCTTGTTACTCCATTTTCGAATTTCATGTTTCTATAACAACAGAATTTCAAATTCTTCTATTCTATAATTACGGCTGTTTTAAGTGTTCTAAGTGCTTGTAACAGGAATAACAGTGTGGACGGCAAAGCAAGCCCACAACGAAGGCTTTTGAAGGGAAAATTCCCGTGTCTCGAATGACAGATGGGGTGACCGTATTGAAGGCTTCGTTCCCTTACTATAGTATTTAAAAGCTTAAAGTAGGCACTTCCCGGCACCTTTCTTCTGGTAATTTAATACTTTTTGCCGTTTCCAATTCAATACACTCGCATTATCTAGAATCTCCAAACTCTACTAGGTTTCGGTTATTTCGTTAGTTTCGCTAATGATTTTTTTACAGGTGTCTCAAAGAATGGAAAGCGAAAGCATCCGCAAAGGGAAAATTCCCTTCTTTTGTTTTTTTGGAATGCATCGGATTATTGAAGGGGCGTCTGGACAGGACAGATAAGTGGACCGTAGCGAAAATTTCGTTCCCTTACTACTATATTTATGATAACTTGTACTTTTGAGAACTGTTCGCTGGAAACCCTAAAGGTACGAAATAAGTGTTACAGAGTGCTGCA